GAAGGAAAAGACCTTTACAATGAAAATTATAGAACATTGAAGAAAAAATGAAGAAGACTTTGGAAAATAAAAAGACCTCCAATGTTCTTGGATAAGCAGAATTAATATTATTAAATGGTCATATTATGAAAAGTGATACACAGATCAATGCAATCTCAATCAAAATACCAATGACATCCTTCATAGAACCAGAAGAAAACTTCTAAAATTCATATGGAAGAATAAAAGGCTCAGAATAGTCAAGGCTATTTTGAGCAATAAAAGCAAAGCTGGAGGTACCACTATCCCTGACTTCGAATTATACTATAGACCTATAGTAATAAAAACAGCAAGGAATTGGCATAAAAACAGACATGAAGAACAATAGAAGAGAAGACAAAAAATTCCACAGACACCTGATCTTTGACAAAGGTGCCAAAAACATATTTGGGGAAAAGACAGTCTTTTAACAAATGGTGCTGGTAAAACTGTTTACCCATATATAAAAAAAAAAAAAGAAACAAAATCCCTATCTCTCACCCTGCACAAGTCAACTTAAAATGGATCAAAGACCTAGGATTTAGACCAGAAATTCTATAAATGCTAGAAGAAAACAGAGTCAACACTCTTAATATACAGGTGCAGGCATTGCCTTCCTCAATAAGACTCTTAAAGTTCAGTAAATAAAACCAAGAATTAACAAATGAATGGCATCAAATTAAAACAAACAAACAACAAAAAACTGCACAGCAAAGGAAACTATTAAGATCATGGAGAGCCTACAGAATAGGAGAAAAATCCTTGCCAGTTATTCTTCTGACAGAATATCTAAAATATATAAAGAACTCAAAAACTTAACACCAAAAAACAAATAATCTAATCAATAAATGGGCAAATTAACACATTTCATCTCATTCCAGTTAGAATGGCAATCATCAACAACACAAGTAATAAAAAATGCTGAAGTGGATATGGTGAAAAAGGTACATTTAAACACTGTTAAACACTTAGTTGCAAATTAATAAAACAACTGAAAATCAATAAGGAGGTTCCTCAAAAGATGAGGAATAGAACCACCGTATGACCCAGCTATTGCACTTCTTGGTATGCACCCTATAGTGATACATGCATAACATTGCACAAGGGCCATTTATGGAACCAGCCTAGGTATTCATCAGAAGATAATGGATAAAGAAAATGTGGCATACATACACAATGGAGTTTCACTCAGGCATAAAGAAGAATAAAATTGTCATTTGCAGGAAATGAACAAAACTGAACATATCAAAGTGACAGTAGCCACTAGACTCAGAAAGTCAAGAGTCATATGTATTCCCTCATATGTGGAAGACAGAAAAAGGAAGAGGATCTCATGAAAATAGAAGGGAGAGCAGTAGAATAAAGGCTGGGGATTAGGGAAAGGGAGAGGAGAAAAGAAAAATATAAAGGAAAGAAATAGACCAAATTATGCTATGTGCAGATTAAATATATCCCAAAGAAGCCATTTATGTATAAGTCCCCCCCAAAAAAAATTTTTAAAAAGAAGAGGGCACTGCTTAAATGTTATAACTGCAAATACAAAGGAGCAATAATATAGGCAAAATATTCATATAAAAAATACCAGTGCTTTTGAGGATATAGTGAAATTAAATCCTGATATTATATTGATGAGATTGCAAATGATACAGAAACTTCAAAAAGCAATTTCATATAGCATTAATACTTTGCTATTGTTGTTATTACAATGAAATATCTCAGGCTGGGCACTTACTAAAAAAGAAGAAGGGAGGGAGGAAGGGAGGGAGGAAGGGAGGGAGGGGGGGAGGAGGAGGAGGAGGAGGAGGAGGAGGAGGAGGAAGAGGGGAGTAGGAGTAGTAGTAGTAGTAGTAGTAGTAGTAGTAGTAGTAATAGTAGTAGTAGTATAATTAGCCCACAATCTTAGAGGCTGAAATTCAAAAAAGCACAGTGCTATGGTGAGGGTCCCCCTGGCTACAGCATCTTGTGGTAGATGGACTCACAATGGCAGGAACACATGCAAGAAAGAGATCACACAGGGGGACAGGAAGCCAAAGTGAGGAACAAGTATCGACTTCCCACTAGGCCCTAGCTCTAAAAGATCCCAGAACCTCTTAACATCACCACACTGGGGACCAAGCTTCCAACACCTTTGGGGGATACATTCATACTATATCCAAATCATAGTGTGGAGTTTTTTTATTTATTATTTGTTCTTTTTAAATATATATGACAGTAGAGTATATTTTAACATACTATACATACATGGAATATAACTTATTCTAATTTGAATCCCATTCTTGAGGTTGTACATGATATGGAGTTTCACATTCATATGTGAACATAGGCAAGTTATGTTCAATTCATTCTACTGTCTTTCCTGTTCTCATCCTCCTTTGTCTAATCCAATGAACTTCTATTCTTCTTTCCCCCTCTATTATGTGTTAGCATCCACATATTGGAGAGAACATTTGGCCTTTGGTTTTTTGGGGACTGGCAAATGCCATCATTTCATTCTTCTTTATGCCTGAAATATGTAGTTTCTCATAAAGTTACCATATGACCACACAATCCTACTCTCTTAGGTATTTACTCAAGAGAAACAACAATTTATGTTTACACAAAAACCTGTAAATGAATGTTACTGCAGTTTTACTTGTAACTGCCAAAATAGGAATATACTTCAACTGTCAAAAATATAAATATTTGTAGTTCATTTAGAGAATAAACAACATTCACAAGTACAGGAATGAAATACTTATGTATACAACACATGGATGACTCTCAAATGCATTTTGTGTAGAAAAGTGAAATCAAGAAGTCAGACTCAAAAGACTACAAATCCTGTAATTCCATTTATATGACACTCTGAAAAAGGCAAAATGATAGAGATAGAAATAGATCAGCAATTGCTAGGAGGTTGGGAGTGGTCAACTACAAAGGAGCAGCAGAATGAATTTGGGGGAGCTTGATGGAACTTTTCTAGATCATTATTGTGATGATATCTGCTTCTTACCATTCATCAAGAGAGACTTGTACACAAGTGTTTTAAATAAATAAATTTATTGATAAATCACACTACACAAAACTTCTCATCAACTGCAGAAACACTGTTTCCCTACAGATAAAAGTACACCTTAATGCCAGGTGCAGTGCTGTGATCCCAGAGGCTTGGGAGGCTGAGGAAGGAGAATCCAGAGTTCAAAGCCAGCCTCAGCAAAAGCGAAGTGCTAAGCAACCCTGTCTCTAAATAAAATACAACAACAACAACAACAAAATAGGGCTGGGGATGTGGCTCAGTGGTTGAGTGACCCTGAGTTCAATTCCTGTATCCCTGCAAAAAAGTACACCTTAAGTGTTTTCTAAGGCTTCTTTCTGAGGCACAATGAGGAGTCAGGTTTTATTACTTTCACTTTGCAACTGAGAAGTAGCACAAATCAAACAATCTACAAGTTTCTGGTACTCATCAGAGAGGCTGTGCTTACATTTAAGTCCTTGATTTTTGTAGTCCACTCCATCACGGTATTAGATGACATCAGTAGTTACAGAGGTTTTTAAAAAGTCAAACTAAATTACTTGTTTATATTATTCCATAAACAAGAAGACTCAAACAAGTATTTTAGAAGGCTAGAAGTGTGCGTAGGTCTGAGAACAAAGTACTTTTAAAACAGTCAAACTAAAGTACTTGTTTATATTATTCCATGAACAAGAAGACTCAAACAAGTATTTTAGAAGGCTGGAAGTGTGGGTATGTCTGAGAACAAAGTACTTTTAAAACAATATACTATTCACACAAATAATTAGCCTTAATTTTGGCCTCAGAAATTCAATTCAAAAAGGAATCTAATTTCTAATACATTTTTAAAATAAGAAAGGGTATAACACAGAACAGATGGAAGAACTAAAAATGAGGCTCTAGATAAGGTACAGCACCACAGTAGACACACACAAAATAAAGCTTTAGTCCTTCACCATACAGTGCAGATGCATGCATGTTCTTTCCTATCTTCTGTAGGTCTGACATGATGCCCAGACCATTTAGGTTTTGTTGTTTTTGTTTTTTAAGTCCGTAATTCACTGCCAATGCCACATTCTTCTTGGTCAAGCTATCACTGAACACACAAGAACGGCCTAAAGAGTTATTCTGACTTAGCACTTTCATCTCTTTTTGCATTACTGGGAACTGAACCCAGTGGTTCATACATGACAGGCGAGCACCCTACCGCTGAGCCACACCCGTCTGTAACCCCAGCTGCTGGGGAAGTTGAGGCAGGAGTATCCCAAGTTCAGCCTCAGCAATTTAGCAAGGCCCTAAGCAACTTAGCGAGACAGTATCTCAAAAGAAAAAAAAAATAAAAAAATAAAATGGGCTAGGGATATAGCTCAGTGGTTAAGCGCCCCTGGGTTTAATACTCGGTACAAAAAACAAATTTTTGTTGTTGTTCTATTCAGGACTTTCCTGTTAGTTACCAGCCCGGAGCCCAGGCTGATAGAAGGAAAACCCAGGCGTTGAGCCAAACAAGCGAGGCTGGGAGAGGAAGTAGGAGGGCGTATTTGGTCACAGTGCCTTGCCTTCACGTGCGAAGCAGCGTGCAACATTCCCGTGGGCTCTCTGGAGCCTTCGTCATAACCCAAGGGGAAAATGACAGTGATGAGACCAAACTCAGAAGCATGTGGTGGCTTTCCCTAGCCAAACGCGCTGGACAAGGGCCCAAAAAATGGGCGCCTCCCCCGGAACCTGAACCCATGGAGCCCACTACCAGTGCCCTCAGCTCCAAAAACTGGCAGTCTTTCACCCTGCACTCATGACCCTCCCCCAAAAGTAACTCACGAGCTGAGGCCCGGGAACCGCCGCCCTCTTTACGTAACTTGAACGGCTAGGCGGACGGCGGCAGGTGGCAGCGCAGGGCTAGCCAAAAGCCCGAGGCCCCAAGAAGGCACCACCCGGTGCAGGCAGCGAGGGCCCCGGAGGCAAGCGAGACGGATGTTGGCGGCGGCCTCCTTACCTTTCCAGATGCCCAAAGAGAGCTGGGACGTGTCCAGGTTCACCACATAGTCCCCCAAGAACCGGTTCAACACGTCCACGACCACCGACTCGAATACCATCTTCCTCGGCTGCGCAAGGCACAGCGGCCACCCTCTTCTCCCAGTGCCCCGCCCTCGAGACCGCCCAGTTCACCGGCTCCGGGACGGCTCCGAATGCAGCGCCTCTACCGCCAGCCTGATGCTCAGCCCCAGCGCGAGCCCGGCAAGGGCGAAGGCGGCTGCTCTCACCGCGCTTGCGCAGCTCGGGCTTGTGGGTGGGGGCGGGGCGTGGTGTAGATCTGAGCGCGCCTCTCCAAGCGGAAGGGCGGCTGCGCGGCCGCCAGTCCGGCGCGTGCCCCATTGGGGCCAAACCGGGCTGGTCTTCCGTGGGCCCCGCCTCCTCCGCATTGCCTAGCAACAGAACAAATGCTAGGTCTACAGGACTTTTCCTACCCCTTCCGGACCTGCAGTCTTGGGAGCGGACCTGCCACTCCGGCTGGACTCAGCACCGCGCTTCTCACCGCCAGGCAGGAACGCTCCTTCCCAGTCTGAGGAAATGATAGACTCCCCACCCGCCGCCATTTGAGCTGAAGGAGCTGCCCCTAAGTAAAGCGTGGGCTAATTCCAGCCACTTCTCTGTTAGGCCAAAGGTTTCCCAAGGAGGTAGGTCAGGGAGCAATACCCCCACTCATTACAGGTTGGGAGGGTTCGGCCAGCTGGGTATTTGGACGGTTATACTGTCCCTTCCTGTCCTCCATGCCCCGGCGAGAACGCGCCATCAGCCCTGGAGATATCTTAAGCTCCCTAGCTGCAAATGGGGGCTGGGTGTAGTGATCGAAAGTTAACTCGGGAATGGAATGCCACGCCCCCTTTCCTATAACTGCAATTAGAACAATTGGCACTTTTTTTTTTCCCCCTGTTGTTTTTGGGAGCCGCCTTTCATTCCAAAGAATGACAGGTTTCTCACAGATACAAAAAGTCAGCCAGTCCAGAAACTGCGGAGTCCCTCAAAGGAATACTGAGTGCTTCCTGGATACTCGCTGCACCCCCTCCACACACCCGCAGCCACACACACATCCTGCGAGCTTCAGACCCAGGAAACAAATTCAGGGTTGGCAGGTAGAAGAAGATGCAAAATGCAGTTAGTATAGTAGATGTGTTTTATTTAGCGATGGCCACAGTCTGCAGCTTCAGCTTCAGTCCCCATTTTTACCCCCATTAGCCCAGATCACCCTGAGTCTTTCCCATAGGCCCTTTTTATATATGCAAATCAAAGAAGGCACACTGCCAACAGGTTACATGGGGGTGGAGGGGAGCAGGACTCCTGCTCATAAGTTAATGTTTATGACCTTGAGTATAAAAGCTGAATCAGAGTGTTTCTGGCCTTGACTTACCATTACATAGTTGGTTTCTAGCCCTAGCTGCACATTAGAAACATAACAGCTTGCCGGAAGTCTCAGCTAGGTAACCTAACTACAGCCATTTTGGGGCCTAGCCCAACACTGACCTAAATTAAGTAAAAATTAGAGCTCTTTCAACCCCATTTCTGAGGTTTATAATAGCCCTAAAGGCCTGAGATCACAGGAGCACTAGATGTGAGATTTGGAGATGAGTGATCGATCACCTTCTTACCTATTTCAGATATGAGTGTACCTTGAACTTCTCTGCATGTCAAATAACAATGACTTCTGTAACTTTCTGTATCATATTACTATTTTTTTTTTGTAGTGCTGAGCATTGAACCCAGGGCTGTGTGCATGTGAGACAAGCACCCTATCAACTAAGCTATATCCCAGCCCCATATTACTAAATTTTGAGCATAGTCACCAGGGTTTCAAAACTAAAAGTTCAAGTTTTATCTTTGCAAGTAGAATGACTGGCAAAAAAAAAAAAAAAGTGTAAAATTTTATTTTACATGAATTGATTAATTATTTTTATACAATCTTATATTTGAAGGGCCTTTATAAGGTCTTTTTAAAGGTCTTAAAGATAATGAAGTGGAGATGTTAAGGATTTCTCCAAAGTCACACAGAACTGGAACCTGGCCTTTCTAACTGACCTCACTCAGTGGTGGAGGTCAGAAGCACTGCATTGCTTCTCTTGCATTTGGTTTACATTAGAAATCTACTACACGATGCTGGCCACTTCTGGCTTAGCCACTACAGGATGCTGGCCACTTCTGGCTAACACTGCCTACTGCCACTAGAGCTTACAGACAAGTATACAAAGCAAGTGTATAGCACAAGTATAATGCACCTGCTGCCACTAGAGTTTGTGGACAAGTGTATAGGATCAAGAATTCATATTGTGATGAATGATAAGGAAATTGATGGAACTCTTCTAGGATTAACTGTCAATATGGTGCTGTAAGATGTCACTGAGTTTGACATCAGAAGGAAAAAGGATTACTAAATCTGATAAGATTTTGCTTAATGGAAAGAATATAACAATGTTGGTTCCTGAAGGAGAGGGACCTGAAGGATGAATGATTTTCCTTGACTTATACTAGATTCCATTTTGTTTTATAATAGATTTTTAAAAATCTTGAGTATTTTTAAAATATATATTTTTTAAATCTTTTAATGTTTAGGTTCTCTAAGAATAATTTTTCCCATTAAAGGGAAATACTTTCAAGATATATTGTATGACCAAATTTCTAAAGTAGTCATAATTTTCTTGGAAAAAGAACAAATTAATTCAGTTCCTTTTTTTGTAGTTGTAGATGGACAGAATGCCTTTATTTTATTTGTTTATTTTTATGTAGTGCTGAGGATCGAACCCAGTGCCTCACACGTGCAAGGCAAGTGCTCTGCCACTGAGCTATAGCCCCAGCCCTATGAGTTTGGTTTTTTGAAGACTAAAAGGTAAAGACTTTTTGGTTGGAAAAAAAAAAAAAAGAAACCTACTTCAGAATATCTGTATGGAGAAACTAATAGAGGCGAAGATACTTAGCAAAGGATAAAGCCCTAATGAGGTATTTTGCTACTTTACTATTAGTAAGAAGCCAGATGTACAGTAGCCACAAAATTCCATTGTTTTATCAACCATCATAAATTTAAAGTTGCAAGAACTTCCAGAATTTACTCCAAAAAGGCATCTTTAAGTATCTCGACAACTTAATATTGGTTTTCTACAATCCAAGAAAAGGGAAAGGGTGTTGCTGAAAAATTAGAAGTATGAGAATTTAATTGCTAAACAGCAATGAAAAAAAAATCTACTGAAGAAAGTTTAGAAATAAAATTCATATTGTAACTGAATCCTATTCTAATATTAGGTAGTAAATCATGAACAACACATTTCCCTGTTACTCAAACATATTGTTTACATTCAGTCATGGTGTTGCCTAATCCATCCAAGGAAGTTTGCAGGTAAAACTACGTTTATGCTATAATGAAAAACACAGGTACGATAATTAAACCAAATTTCTATTGGACCTTGAAAAATAAGCCTAAGAACTACTAAGAAAAAAGTTCAAGTTTTAAATTTGGGAATATGTCTATGTAAATTGTTCTTCCATATCATAATTAAAATGTTATATTTCGTTGTATCACCAAATTGCATGATCAGATGGGAAAAGCCTGGGGGAGCACTCAAAGGACCCCAAACTACAATATCATCTAACTTCAATAAATTTCTAACTTTTGTAGGTAGGACTTGCTGTTTTATGTTTAGTTTCTGTCTATGAAATTGCATGCTGGTAGTGATCTTGAACCTTTTTTCTACAACTCTTAATTCTTCTATCCACTAGTAAACATCTTTGGGGTTCTCCTTGTCTTTATCATTAGTTTTATAGTAGCAGGCTAGATGGATTACAAAGCCATTGAAGAAGACCATGATCCTAAAAAGTATGCTGGAGAAAGATGACCATTAACTGACTTAGCCATACAGAGCCTTGGACTCTGTCTCAGTTAATGGCTTATAAATTATAAATAATAAAAGTTGGACTGGGGTTGTAGCTCAGTGGTAGATCACTTACCTTGCATGTGTGAGGCACTGGGTTCGAATCTCAGCACCACATAAAAATAAAGATATTGTATCCATCTATGACTAAGAAAAAAATTTTAAAATAAATAAATAAATAAAAGTTACTTGGATATATGTGCTTCAGTCTTTAAATGGAGAAATGTATCAGAAGCATACATGAGAGACAAGAAAGGTACTCAAGTAGTATAGGTGGAAATGTAAATTGACACAATCTAAAAGGCAATTTTTAAACATTTACAAACACACACAGAGATGACTTTTGACTCAGCAATCCCACTTCTAGAGATTTGATCTAAAAAATTGTAAAAATCCCAAAAATTATCCCTCTAGAAATATTCACTAACGCTTTACTTATAACAAAAAACCCATAAACAATTTAAATATCCATTAATAAGTAAACACATTGTATTACTATGCAGACATTAAGATGATAGGGAAGATGTAAACTAATATGGAAGGATGCCAGTATTATAAGAAACAAGATGCAGAATAGTATCACACCAACTGTATAAATTGTGGATGTGTTTTTAAGCATGCAAAATATACACACACACACACACACACACACACATATATATATATATATATATATACATAAAATACAGAAATCTAGAAGTACACTCACCAAATATTAACAGTAGTTATTTCCAGATGACAAGATTTTTGTGAATGAACATTTTTCTCTATTCTTGAAGTTCTTTTTTTTTAACAGTGAGCATGTATTAATTTGTTCTAACCTGTGAAGAGGAATGTGTTTGAAATTTTATTATATTGTATGTTATTTTATAACTTGGAAAAGTATAAATGCACAAGGACAAATTGTTCTCCCTAGATTTATAGCCAAGATATGAAGAGGGATATGAACCTTTAAAAGTCTGCCAAAAGACACAAGCAGACATTTCCCAAAGAAAGTGTACAGATGGCAAATAAGTACATGAAAATATGTTCAATGTTATTAGCCATTGGGGAAACAAAAATTAAAACCACAGTGAGATATCAGAATATCTTATTCTATTTAACCTGTCAGAATAGTTTAACAACAAATGCTGGTGAGGATAAGGAAAATTTGGATTAATCGTATATTAGAAATGTGAAATGATACACCCACTCTGGAAAAAAGGCAGTTTATACAAAAACTAAACATGTGCCTACCATATAAACCAGCAGTTGTACTCCTAGACATTTACCCTAAATAAATGAAAATATATGTTCACACAAAAACCTATACATGAAAGTATATAGCCACTTTGTTCATAAATAGCCAAAGCTAGAAACAGCCCAATTTTTTCAATGTCTAAATGGTTATATTGTGGTTCCTCCATAATATGAAGTAATAGTAATAGAAAGAAATAAACTACCAATACATGCAACAAATTGCATGATCTCAGGGGAATTGTGTTGCATGAAGCTGTATTATCCCATTTATAAAACATTCTTAAAATGGGATTGGGATATAGCTAAGTGGAAGACTGCTTGTTTAGCATGCATAAAGCCCAGGTTTCAAACCCCAGCACTGAAAAAAAATCTTGAAATGGATAACAGATGACTGTTTGCCAAAGGTTAGGTATGAGTAGGGGGTACGTGTAGCTACAAATGGATAGAAGGTTAGGTATGAGCAGAAATGGTAGGTGTGGCTATAATTAAGTAGTAGGAAAGTATCTTGTGTTTATGGTACATTTCTGAATCTTGATTGTAATGGTGGTTACATTAAACTACACACACAGAGAAGTGCTTAAGACTCATGAAATCTGAATAAGCACTACAGATGGTACTGATGTCTCTATTTCCAGGTTCTGATGTTGTATTATAGTTATTTAAGATACTACTATTGGGGAAAACTGGGTAATGGTACATGTGATTTTCTTGTAATTATTTTTACAACTTCCTATGAATCTATAATTATTTTAAAATAATTCTTTAAAGTTCTGCTAATTTAAGGTCAACTAGGAGTTGCCTAAAAAAAAAAAAAAAAAAAAACGAAATGGGCTTAAGAGATTCTATGTGATGTTTTAACATTTCTGCCTAGGGTCCTTGGTAAATTATTCAAGGAAAGGTATTTGAATGTAGTCCCGTATCAGAATTATTAAAATACCATTACAATGTGGTCTCCATTAAAATACTTGAAAAGGGAACATAAAATAAGGGATTTTAAGCACTTTCTTCTGCCTCTATCTGAAACAATTGGCCTCTTTTCAGTTAGAGAGCCCAAAATGCTCACATCCATCAATATTTGCTGATCTCAGATTTCTGGTTAGATGGTTGATTTTACAGGACTGACTGACTGTTATTCAGGTTTGTGTCCAAAAAAAATGTCATCTAATCAGAGAGTTCTTCCCTGACCTGTCAGTCTTCAGCAGTCACACTTGGTCAAATTATTTTAGCAGCACCTGAATCTGGCTTGCATTTTCTCCAACACTTGCAGAAGCAGCATCATATCACCATCTCCAAAGACATCAGAACCAATCTTATCATTTTCCATCCTCAGAACTCAGAAACAGAGGCCAATCAAACAGCATCCGACCTTGGAAATCTGAGTATCAGCTGGAAGGTTCCTCTGAGTGTCCAGCTCTGTCCCTTTGCTCACTCAACCCTTGAGTTAGGTATATCCTTGATATCTTGGAGGATGCCTTTCACCTTTTCATTATATAATTTTCTATCTAGTTAACAATTCTATATACATCTATTGTTAAGAGAAGGAACATCTGTGCCAAAGGAGATGTTTGGCTGAGAGATGGGAACAATATCATCAAAGAGAGTAAATGCAAATTATGGATGAAGAGAGAAGCCAGGCAATAACAGCCAGCCTATAAATGGATAATGAGTCCAAGGGTCAGGCACTCAGATGATCAAGAACAGGTCAGGCAGTGAAATATTAGGTGTGTCAAGTTGAAGGATGCAGAGAAGTGCTGAGAGTCTGATCCTAATTGTCCTGTGGCACAAGACCAGCAGAGTTAAGAAGCTCTTCATGAGCTGAATCCCCTAATATCACCCTTGCTTGTTCAGACCAGCCCATCTTCCCATTTGTCTAAATCATGTTCTTGATTTAGACAGAATGTGAAAGATCTCCCAGAAATGAACTCTGCTGATTTGGACTTTTAAATATTAACTACCATCTCAATTTCCTGCCTCTGTTCTCTTTCCTTCCTTTGTAAATCATTGACTGAACAGACCTTGTGAACCTGTGTATGTTGCCACTTTTGTTAAGCTGTCTCCCAGAGCCTGGGTCACTACTTCAAGGTGCAGCTCTAAGGCCAGCCTCCATCACTCTGCCTTGCCTACCTTATGCAACCTTTTAGTGTAAGTAAACTGAAACATACAAATAAGAAGCAATGACAAGGACAGGTGGGGAAACTACCAAATTTACAGAGCAGCCAGGAGGCCATTATTGAGATTTGGGCAAGAAATAATTATGAATCTTGACAAGTCCATGTACATTAAATAAATAGAAAAGGCATAGATGTGATGGAGGTCATAAAGGTGGAATTAACCAGCCTTGGAGACTAATTAAGTGTGGTGAATTAGGTAAATTAAGTCATTTAAAGATGGTATTATTCATAGTAACTGGAATGTAAAAATAAGGCATTGGTTTTATGGGAGATGATAAGGAGTTCAGGTTTTGATACATTACATGGAATTTCAAATCTAACAAAATATTCAGGATAGATTAGAATTAAAAATCCAGAAGGAAATGTTTAATAATAGTTAGAAATTAAGGAATGGGATTCCAGTGAGAGTCTAGGTCAAGAGATGAATACTTGAAAACTCCCTACACAGAAGTAATCATCAGTATACAATGAATGGATGACACTCTGGAGTAAAAAACTGTTGCAAGCACAATGGCACATGTCTGTAATTCCAGCAATCTAGGATGCTGAGGAGGAGGATTACAAGTTTAAGACCAGCCACAGTAACTTAGCAAAGACCTGTCCCTGGACTGGGGACATAACTCAGTGTGGTACAGCAACCCTGAGTTCAATTACCACTACCAAAATAAAAATAAGAGAAACCAGACACAGTGGTGCACACCTGTAATCCTCACGACTCAGGAGACTGAGGTAGGAGGATCACGAGTTCAAAGACAGCCTCAGCAAAGGAGAAGTGCTAAGCAATTGTCTCTAAATAAAATACAAAATAGGGCTGAAGATGTGGCTCAGTGGTTGACTGCCCCTTTCAATACTGGTACCCAAAAAAATAAAAAAGAATTCTAGAGAAAGAAAAGCAGAAACGTAAGAACTGAATGGTGAAGAAACTCTCCTTTTGAGAGGAGGCAAACAAACATGACGAATCCTACAACATAAACCAGCATACCAGGAATAACGTAGAAATCCAAGAAGGATTTATAAGCGGAAGGGGGTAGTCAGCAATATCAAAATCAGAGAGATACCAAAAAAGAAAAATTCTGAAAACTAAAATGAATTTAGCTATTAGAGAATGCAAACAAGTTCATTTGATCCACCTGAGATGTTGCTATGGCTTGAATGAATTCCTTAGAAGTTCATGTGTTGAAACTTAATCCCAAGTTCATATGATAACAGAATTTGGAAGTAGGGTCTTTGGGAGGTAAGTAGGATTAGATGAGGTTATGTTCCCAGGCTGGCATTAGTGGCTCTGAAGAAGAGACCTGAGCTAGAACGCTTGTGCTATCTTGCCACGTGATGCCCTCCACC